CTGAGGTATTCGTCAACCGCATCAAGCGCATAACCATATGCCAAGACACGAATTGCTGTTGTACACTTTTGAAGTGCAGAGAGACAAAACCTTCCTGTAACGTCTCGCGTTTGACGAAAGAATTGAACTTCATTGGAGAAGCGGTCAACAATACGCATGAACAATGGGTTGTTCATTCTAAATCGTCGCCGGAATAGATTTTCTGGATATGTTGGAGTGTCACTGAAATAATCATTCCATAACTGGAGATGGTTTTTTTCGCGATTTCGTTCGATAAAAACTCTTTTTTTTTCTTGTCCTCCTTTCGTTTTCTTGATCACCGTTAGCATTGACCAGATTCTCGAATGTTTGATCATAATATTGATCTAAAGTTTCATCGAATGAATCCCCAAAATCGTTATGAGAAGAAGACGCCATGAATTGTTTGAGAATCTTGACAAAAAATAGACAAACATTAGAATCTTGAAGATATAGTATTTATATTATATAGAATTTTATGTTATATAGAATTTTATAAGGTTGGCGATATAGTATTTTTATAGAATCTGATGATGGTTAATGTAGTGTAACTAATTAAAGAAAAGAATTGAGGTTTTAATTTTGATGATTGCTTATCAAGTAAAGTGATGGTCTTGGTTTGGTTTGGTTTGGTTTGGTTTGGTTTGTTTGAACTTGGAGAGAATACTTGATCTTTGTTTGTTTTGGAGAGAATGCTTGAGCTTTGTTTGTTTTATTAGTTAAGAATGAGAGATGATCTTTGTTATTATGAGAAGGAGATATGAGTTTGAGAAAGAAAACGTATGCAGAGATAAATGTTATATAGAATTCAAGACTTACAACATTCTGTCACTTGTGACACAACACAACAAAACTCGAACAAACAAAACAAGATACAAGACTTGGCACAGACACAACAGAACTACACTCATGACACAACAGAAAAACACACACACACACTCTTCCACTCTCGTGACATAAGAGGACTAGAGACTTGTGACACACACATACAGTCTTCTCTCGTGAGTACTGAGAAGACCTGAACTCTCCACTCTGCATCACAATAACAATAACCTACATCAAAAGAACAAGAACATTGTTAAAAAACAGACAAGAACAAGAACATTTAAAAAAAAATAGAAAAGAACAAGCAATCTATTCCGATAACAAGAATAATTTTTAAACATAGAAGACTAATTTAAATAAACATACAAGATCAAGAACATTTAAAAAAAAAACAGACAAGCAATCTATTCCGATAACAAGAACATTTTTTAAAAAACAGAACAAGCAACCTAATTTAGAACAACTCTTTTATGAGCTTCTTCTTGAGTGATTCTTCATAGTCAGCTAGAGGTTCCTTTTTCCTATAAGACTTTAAAACATATTCATCTTAGACAGCTTCTCTTTACCGGCCAAATCTTGTTGTTTAATCGCCCACATTGTCTCAAACTCATCCAGATTTTTCTCGTCAACCACCTTCTTCTTACCACTTGCCTTTGAGGCCTTCACACCCGGGGGACGCTTGTTCTCTGTTGCTTGAGAGTTCTCTGAATCAGCTCCATCCTCACACTTTCTCTTCTTCGAGCTTCCATCCTTTTTAGCAGTCATAAGGGCGCACCAATTCTGGTCGTTGCGTAATTCATTCCAAGCGTGTTCCAAAGTAAATTTTTTGTTTTAGTTGTTGTAGAATATTGTGTGAGCAAGTTTCAGAACATCATTCTCGTTCTGGCCGCCACCTTTCTCTCTATTAGCAGCTTCATATGCACCACACAACTTGCACACAAGGTCATTGATCATGTGCCAATGCTACTTCCAATGGCTTGCCTCTCTCTCTTCGCAGCCAGAAACCAGAGGACTTGCCGCAAAGTAATTGGCAATTCTTTTCCAAAAAATTCCAGATTTTTGTTCATTACCAACCACAAGATCCTTGCTCGTGTTTAACCACGAGCTGATGAGCAAGATATCATCTGGGGGTGTCCACTTCCTTCGCTCTCTACGATCTGAAGCAGTCTCTCCACCATCTTTTGTGCCTTGAGTGTGAAGAAAGAAAGATTGTGATGAAGATAATTCGTGACAATCTTCATAGTTACCGAAAGAGATACTTTGTTGACTATTAAGTAGTTCAACAAACTTAGAGCTGTGGGTAGATGGATTGGAATTCATATCCGAAGCAAGATCAAGGATGAGAGACAGAAAAAAATAAAGCTGAGAAAGAAAGGAAGAGAATAACTCATTGATAAAGAAAAGAAGAAAGATGAGAAGGAAGAGATAAAGAAAATAAGAGAAGGTTCAAGCATTGATCACACACCCAACCATAAACGAGTTGACATATAACTACGATCATTCATCACACAACAATATCGTATTTATTACCTAAGCTAACCATTGTCTCACGATAAGCACTTCATTTATTATCTAACCTAACACTTTCAGTTTCATTTCAAACTAGAATAAACGCTTTAACAACTTGACTAAACTGGTTACCGTCCAAGAAAAACATCATTGATCAAATAAACAACATTGCTTCATACAGTTCTAAATTCATTGCTTATTTGAATTATCCAGCAATTACCAAGCAAAGACAGATGTTTTATCCAGTTATAAAATCATTGCAAACTAGAATTAAAATCATCAACATTCGCAACATAAATCTCATTCAATTTCTAACTAGAAACGTTTATCCAATTACAAAGATCAATGAGAAAGGATTTACCCTTACAATCGTGGCGGTTTTGTTTGACAAAGACACATGTTTTGTGCTCACTTCACGCCTCTTGATCAATCCTGGATCATACCAGAATCATGCCTCTTGATCCATCCATGTAACGACACAAAGACAGAAAACAAATAAAAAATATTAGATTTTTTTCATTTTCTACGGTTCACGAACAAGAATCAAAGACATGCATAGTTGAAATAAGCAGAGAGACGCTTTGCCTTTGGATCCCCTAGAGAAACAATCGTCGTTTGTCTTCGTCTCAGAGAGCCACCAAGAGAGAGACATAGTCGTTTTGCTTCTTCGAAGACAGCCACAGATCGAGAGGTCACCGTCTTCCATCCTCCACGAGAGCCACCGATAGGGAGAGCAATCGCTGGTAACTTTGACGAAATCAACCGAGAAGGAGAGAAATCGCCGGTAACTTCAGCGAGATCCATCGAGAGGGAGAGAAATCATCGTTTCATTCGATGAGAACCACTGAGAGGGAGAGAAAACCCGATAGAGGCGTCGATGAGATCAACCATCGAAAATAGAAACCAATAGAGACGTCGATGAGATCCACCGAGAGGGTTTTTGAAATTATCGTTGTCGTTGAGGAGGAGACGAACCGAGGAAAAAAAATAAAGAAAAGAAAGAAAGAAATGAAGAATCTCGACTCCACCTTTCCTCTGTCCAATAGTGTAGGGACACATCGCCATAACTTCGTGACCTTAATTAGGGAACGTGTCTTCGCTTTAACTCCATCTTTCCTAATTCTTTTTTATTAATTATGCTAAGGGATGCGGCTAAGACATACCCTTAAACGTGCTCTAACATAACTTTTAGGTAGCATTGAACAACATATCTTATGCCCTTTATCAAAAAAAAAAAAAAAAAACATATCTTTACATTTATATTGTAACACAAAAAAACCCCTCAGCCATTACATATATCTCTAGAATTCATAAAAACAATTTGAAAAGATTATAAGAAAATTAAAACAAATAGAAACAGCATGTGAATTATATGGATCTTAATTACATGTAATTTTTATCATTATTTCGAAGTTGTAATGCTTCCAAAATAAAGTTGGCTAGAAGATTAGGTAGATAAATAACTACCATTCCATTGTACCAAACATCCTACTAATGACCAATGGGACTCTCTAACAGTTCAAAGACTTGTGGGTAACAACCATATTCAATCTTTATATTATATAAAACACAAGTAACAACATATATGTTGCAATTAAAAAGCTCAAAACCAAAATGCCCCCTCCTCCTCGCCATCATCCATCGCCACCAAGGCCGCCGCATCATGAGCTTCATCCTCCTCCACCTAACCCGCTGCCACCAAGACCACCGCATCCAGAGCCTCGCCCTCGTCCCCCACCGCCTCCTCCAGGACCTCACCCACCACCTCCTCCAGGACCTCACCCACCACCTCCACCTGCCGGAGCTTCCTGGTTTTCAAGACCTTTCGGTCCGCAGCATCCACCTGGACACCCGTATTAATAGCCATGCATGACTTCTTCGTCTAGTTATGTATGCGTGTAGAAAATATCTTTTGTTGCATCATGCATGGTTTATGGGAGACTGGTCATTAGACTCAGTCTTGTCTTACTTGTCACAATAACCTCCTACTGTGAAAGAGTGGTGCCATTTAGCTAGTCAAGAATTTGTTTCAAGTTGTTAAAGGATCTGAGAAAGTAAGAAGCAGTTATTTTATATTAAAGGCTATTTAAGAGTCGGCTAATCAATAACAATAAGCTTTGCTTTTCGTTCTCATCATCTGATTCTTAGCTTTGTTACAACATCTTTGACTTTCAAGATTTCATATGCGTGTAGAAAATATCTTTCCGTTTCTGTAATATAGCCATGCATGATGATGCATGCATATTTTATAAGAATGATGAGAGTTAAGGATCGTATTCCTAGTCTAACAGGATACACCTGCATTTTATTTAGTTATGTACTTGCAAAATTGTAATGTTCTGTTGAGCAGATAATTAAGTAGGGTTGTTTTTCACCTTTTTGTGGCTATCTTTTCGCTTGTGAATTATGAATTTTGTTTACCTCAACATAATTTATATATATATATATATATAATATATACATATATAATATAATATTTGTTTTATAACGTTGAATTTCAAACTTGTAGTGTATGTGTATCAGAACCATTAATTTCGTTGAAAAAGAACAAAATAAACGTATGTGAACTAGAAAAGAACAAAATGTTGGTGAAATAATATACATAATTTTTTTGTATGGGACTAATAAATCAAGCAAGAGCAATGTTTTCAAACTGGGATGGTCTTAACCGTCAATGGTATTCTTACAATATGATTTAAGCTTCCGGTAAGAACAATTTCACCAAACGTAAATTGGTTTAGAACTTCTGTGACATTGAACTCAATGTCAACATCTTGGATTCTATGTGCCGTTATCGTAAACCAAGGTGGGCTTAACCGTACGCTTGTACCATTGGGAGGTAAAACTGAACCAATATATCTCTCTGTCTTGTTGGAGACGTTTTGGAAACTTCTTCTCAACACAAGTGACCCTTTAAGCGCAGATATAGTCACTGATGGATGGTTAAGATTCGCCGGGTGGCTAAGCTTGGTGGTGCACCAGGCTCCAGTTGCGGATCGAACTGTGACCGGGTTAATGTTTGGCAGTGAACACAAGAAACTGATGTAGTCTTTAAAACCTGGTCAAATATGCCCAAAACATTATTATGAAAAGTGAAAACTACCCCCCCCCCAAGGTTTTAACGTCTATCATTTCTCTCCCACATGATAAATAAAAATATTTACCTGTGGGTAAAACAAGCCCTGGATCTATGGCTCTAGCCGGATTAACATGGCCGGCGCCATGATCAAAATGATTAGATGGAAACAGTTCACCAATTTCATAAGACTCCGCTGACAGAACTTCACCTGAACTGTCGTATCCTGTGGCCGTGGTGGAAATGGCTGAGGCAATCATGGCCGGGGTCCAAGAAGGATTAATTTGCTTTATCAATGCGGCGATCCCCACTATATGAGGAGCCGCCATGCTCGTTCCGGACAATATTGCAAAACTCCGTCCTGCTCACAATAACAATTAGATTTTACAGGAGACACAACATGAAGGGTGTAAAAGTAAAAACCTGTGAAAGTAGGATCAAAGGCACTAGGAAGGCTCCAGGCTCCCCATATTTGATGACCAGGTGCAAGAATATCTGGCTTAAGGACATCTAAAAGATTCTGATTTGCATCTATAACAGCCGGGCCCCTCGAAGAGAATCTGCTCACCACCGGTGCATCTCCAGCGAAAACCGAATTCCGGCCTTCGCCGATTCTGGCTTGTGCCCCGAATTTTGTCACCATTCCTCCTTTGTCTCGGTAAGTTTTCTCTTCGTAGTACCTCAAAATAAGCTAACATAATAAAATAATCTTAATATATGTAGTGAAACTTCACTGAAATATTTTCATGCCAAGTCAAATGGTCCCTGTGTGGTCACTGAATTTCATTGTTACAAACAATTGTGAACTCGTCAATTGTTATATACTGTACTAAAGAGACGGTTATATACTAATATATATATACTATATAGCCATCAACACATAAATCACATATTGGATGATATATTCTATACTATATACTCCGACAAGTCGGCTACCTAAATTTCTGTTTAGTCCGATTAATTGGTCGGTTATCTAAACTATTAATGTTTACAAATTTTCAAAGCTATGTCACGTAGACATATTTTCTTATGATAGGGCTTTGATCCAAATATCTAACGAACTTTGTCATTTCTTCAAATATTGGATGGATAATAATTACCTGTGAATCTAGTACTCTAGGGATTAGAATACCCGGAGACGAAAATATCGTCGGTTCTGCAACATAGTCACCGAAATTAGGGTTGGCAATGAGTATGAATCCCATGAAACCAAGGGTCGTGGCGGTTTGGGTGATGGCTCGAATTGTCGAGATTTGATTGAAGAAGCCCTCGGAAAATGTACAAATCACAAGACTTCCAAGCACCTTCGTCGGATCAAAATTATCCGGTCGCTGACATTCTTCAACGTCACCGGTTAGGGTTCGTGGAACGGAGCCGTTGGTTCTAACTGCGTCTTTGGCTAACACTAGCCTGTGTCGAACGAAAGGAGCTCCAAGAGTTGGACCTTTAATTTTCAGAATGAAGAAAATATAATTATTTTTTTTTTGTTCTTTCATAAAATATTAGAACTAAGTTAAACATAGATCGAAATTGTTACGAGTATGTAAAACATATGGACTAGAAATTCAAAAATTTAAGGTATAAGAAATATGGTTATATACTATTATAATTAGGAATTAAAAGTTGAAAATGATATAATCACAGTAATGTTTAAGAAAGCTTGCAAAAAAATGCTTCTACTATCAAATATACTAGGTGATTTTCCCGTGCTCATGCACGGGTATGAATATTCATAAAAGTAAAATTTTATAATAATTGATTGATATTTAGTTTTATTTTTGAATAAATTTATATGTATAATTTATATTAATAAATATTATATTATTCTAATTATACATATGACTGAGGAAGTCGGTATGGTTATCAATTTGATATATTGGATAATATATATTTTTAGAATTCAGCTATAATATTTTTATTCTAAATATAATAAAACTTTGATTAATTTTCTTATTTTCATTTCGGTTGGTTATTGTCTTAGATATGTAAATATATTATAGTTAAATTATATATAACTTAATATGTATTGTGCTTACAATGAAATAAATAATAAACTGAAGTGTTTGATTCAAAATTACATAAATGAATATAATGATAATATTTTGAAGTCTCATGCATATATATAAATTCTACAAAAAAAATTAAATTGTAACTGGTAATTTTTGAATATTCATGAACATATATAATTTAATTATTTTGAATATATATTTTATGTTATTTAAAAATATATATTAATGGGGTATTACTATTTTGTGAACTTTCCTTTTTAATAAAGTCATACTATATACATATATTTTCGTTTTTAAATTTGTTTTACAATTTTTGAAATATTTCTTTTTTATTATATATATTTTTTGGAAAAAAGTAAAAGGGAAACTAAATAAAAAGATTAATAATAATCTTAAAATCTAACAATTTATTAAGGGTAACTATGTAATCAACCATCGCAAGAGTTAACGTGAACGCGACACGTAGAAAACTGACTTCTCAAATAATATTATAGAGATCCGGTAATACCATATTTTATTTTTTAAATTAAAAATATATTCAAACAGATAATCTCAAAAGTAAATAAATAAATGTGTGTCAATAGTTTTGATAAAAACTAATTTGTTGTCTTTAGTGTTTACTAGCGTTGCAACCTAATTACCATTCCAACCTAATCATTTAATCAGAAACAAATTAGCTGTGCCAAATAAATTCTTAATGCAGTTTTTCCTAGGATTTGTTATGGAATGCAAGTATTTTTATTTGAAAATTTTAGTTCGAGATTTACCTGAAAGTCCAACGCCCTGAATGGTCTGGCCACCGTCGAGGATGAGAGAGGCAGGATAAGACCGATCAGTACTTCCGGCTGCGACGCCGATGACCCATGGACTATAAGACACCACGGAAGATGGAAACGGACCATGATTCCCTGCAGCCTGCACCACAATGACTCCTGCTTTTCTAGCCAATAGCATTGCCAGGTCGAAAATCCCGAGCACTGTCGGCTTATCTACCGGAGGTTTGTCCGGTCCTACGGATAGTGTCAGCACATCCACACCATCTATTATTGCCTGTGACATATTAAGTTCGAAAGTAAAGAAATTTGTTTAATACTTTTGACTTAAGAAAAAACAGCATTTTGTAACTTTTACTTGGTCGATGGCAGCAATTACGTCAACAAGAGTTCCTATTGATGGGTAAATTGCCTTGTAAACGGCTATTCTGTCACGCGGAATAATGTAATTTGTAAATCATTTAGAAGGAGTATTTGTTATTCAACTCATAAAAACTAATATTTATTCTGGTTTTATGACTAACCGTGCTCGTGGAGCCATTCCGCTGGCTCTGCCGTAGGAGAACCCGTCGACGATCACCGGAACTCCTGAATTTCCGGCCGCTATGGACGCCACGTGGCTAAACCAAACCGTCCAAATTATCTTATATGGTACATAATGTATTCATCACACATAACATGTATAACATTTCTAATGCAAAAAAAAAAGAATCATACCTTTATAGTTTTTTTTTCTTTTTGCTTAACTTTGGATCATATATTATAGTCGACCAAACGAAAAAGACAATACAATATTCGGATAATAATAATAGAAACATGGTTATACCTTCCGTGACCGGACGCATCGAACGGAGAGAGTATATTCAAGGAGCCGTTGAAAGCGACAGAAGCTCGAGCTCCAGCTGAAAAGAATCTCGCGGAGATGATTTTTCCGTTACAAGAGCCAACGGGGAAGAGAGGACCAGTCTCACAGTCGCCGGAGAAATTTAAATGTGAGAGATTCGTTGAGTAAGGGTTGGTAAGATCGAGTGCGGCGAAGCTAGGGTGAGTAGGGTTAATTCCTGTATCCACGAAACCGATTACGATGTCTTCTCCGGCACGTCTGTCACCTTGATTGGATATCTTAGGCCAGACTTGTGGAGGAAGTTCCAAGAAATCGGGAGTGTAAGTTGTCATTAGTTTCACTCCTTTGTCTTCTTCCACTGCCTTCACTCCTTTTGCGTTCTTCAGTTTCTTGGCCTGCATGATTAGCGTTTCCGGTTTACCGAACCAAAATTAGCCAATGTTACAATATAAGCGTTTCCCATTTAGTTTAAAAGAGTTTATTATGCTAAATTTAGTTCAAATTATTAGAGATTGATGAAGTTTCGTTTTCCATTTGTACTTTTGATACCTTCATAGTATATATAAACTTCCAAATTGCACTAAACCGGTCAATATTAAACCAAACCGGCAAAAGTAATATATTTCTTTCATTTTTATGGGTAAGAGGAGGACCTGAGAAGGAGTAGTACTGACTGCGAGACCATTGATGATATGTTTGAAGCTATAAAGTTTTGTATAAGTTCCTTTTTCAAGGGTGTTTTCAAGAATTTCTTCATGAATCTCTTCTATTGTCTTTGCCATAGCTTTGCTGAGTTTCCAACATCAAATGTGATCAATCTCAACATAGTTATATTTAAAAAATTCTGATATTCTAGTTACATGAATAGGTGATAGCCTCAGAAAATTCTTTCAAACTTCTTTTGGAAGAAAGTAAGGTCAACTGTTTGTGGTTTTTGGTTTTAGTTTTTCTAAAAACCATTTTCCTTCAAATCAAGTTTTATCTTTAAGTTTTCTTTTGTAAAAACCATTTTGTTTGCCATCAAGTTTTTAAACAAATAGATTTCTTAAAATTTAGAGAAACTAGTGTTTTAAAATTTTAACCAGTTTGTGAAGAAAAGCCAAAAACCAATTTTTGTGGATTTTTAAAACAAAAAATAATTTTACTTCTTTTGTAAATTACCATTAAAAATAATATTTTTATAAAGATAAAGTACCCATACAAATTTTTGTAGATAATATATCATTTAAACCTTAATGTAAAATATTTTATTTGTGTTGTATATATGTAAGTAATTTGGATAACTATATATAATACTAATTAACTGTAAACAGTTAGTTATTAATTTTTATAAAATATCATTGAATATTTTTTATAATTATTAGACACACTAACAAATAAATAAAAAATAAAAAATTAAATATTTTATTAATAAAATATATTATATTAATTTGAAAATAGCCATTCAAGTTCTAAAAATAAAACAAAAATCATATAAGAAAAATTATAAATAGTTTCTAAATTTTATAATATTTTTAATTTTATAATTGCTATATATTTTATTATGATATTTTAAATAATACCTAAAAATATAATAATTAAAAACATGTAAATATATTTTAATTTTAAATAACAATCACTCTATTTTGATAAACTTTAATGGTAACTTTTAATATTTTGTGCTTTGCTGTTTTATTATCTTAAAAAAATGTATTGATTATTTTTTGAAAATTTAAAATACAACAAAACCACAAACGAAATTCAAAAACAAAAAACCAGAACCAAAAGCTAAAAATCAAAAACAAAAACCTAAAAACTAAAATCTAAAAACTAAAAACCAAAAACCCAAATCTAAACACCAAACATTGAAACCAAAAAATAATGCAAACAATCATCACCTACATCTAAGTTTAATTTAATTTGTAAACATGAATACTAATGAACATGGAGATGGGAAAATATGCACTTATAGATGAATTAAACCAAGTAGATTCATAAATTGATCTGAACCTGTTAATGTTAGTTGCAGCACGAAAGGCCAATGGTTCACCTTCAACAAGAACAGAGTAAATCTTTGGTACATGATCATCATCGTTTCCATCTTTTTCTTCTGCTCTGGATAATATTACACAAACAATTAATACAAGTATACATACTATGAGCCATATGAAACAATAGGCTCTTAGTTTTCTTGGATTGGTATCCATTAGATCTTTATTACGATTCTCCATTTGTTTAAGATGCATTTATATATTTTCGAGGATAATGAGGATCATGTTTTGGACTATACACATTACCAACAACGTGAGATTTTATATTAGAGGCTGTATGCGTTAAATTCTTTATCACAGCAACTTTCTTATTTGCTAAGGTATGAATCTTGCTTAGAAGGAAAACTCTTTAATATAGTTCTGACCAAAATATAGAAAAGAAGACTTTTTGGAATTGCTTTCTATAAAATAAAAACTGGTAATTTGTGTAATAACTAATTTTGAAAGCAAAATTAAAAATATAGGATTGAGATCTCATACTATTTGTTCATTTTTCTTCCGGTTATAGCCTCTCACTGTACCGGTAAATAAATGATACTAAGATATATAAATGATACAAAGGAACGACTGTGATAAACGCAACGATAGCAAATTGGAAAACGACGCCATCTGTATTAGTAAAACATAAATAATACAACTTATTTTATTTTATGTAGATTTTAAAATTAGACCTCTTATTATTTAATTAATTATTAACTCAATACTTAATATATAAAATATTTCCTAAAATAATTATTTCCTAACAACTATAGTCATTTTCTTCTACATCTCATCTAATATTTCCAACTCGAATGTTTCTTCGTATCCATTACATCATTCAACCAATATATTAATCTATAAATGTATTATTTTCATTAGCAAACAAACTATATTATATATTTTTCAATTATGTCAACTGTTTGCGGATAATTCGTTAGCCTACATCTATTAATACTTCTATGGATACTATCAATATTATTAACCAATTCTATTTCAATACTGTGAAGTTAACCATTGTCCATATTCATTGTATAACAAACTATAAACTAGGGGTGGATTCGAGAGCCATATGGGTTTGGTTCAAGTCTATTTAGATTTCGAGTTTTTGAGCTTAAATTTATATTGCCAGTCGCGTATTTATAAATTTTTGCTCGGATTTATTTCAGATCAATGCGAATTTGGATTCAGATAACCCATTTTAATAATTTTTTAAAATTTTAAATTGATATATACTTTAATACAAAATATGTTTTAATAATGTTGTTTAGTTACATAAATAAGTATGGCATTAAAACAATGCGAATGTTTAGTTATGGTTTTAATAATGCGAATGTTGTTTAATAATATAAACTCAAAAGTATATAAAAGTAAACAACATAATATATATATATATATATATATATATATAATTTATTAAAACAAAAGTAAAATCCGCACAGACTGTTATCTAGTAATTATAGAGGAAACGGATTTCGTGAATAAAGAGGAAGCAGTGAGTTTTTTTAACAGAGGTAATTGTTGTCACGGTGGTAAGAGATCAAACAATCGAATGGAACATATTAAAGGGAGGAGGACATAAACATATATTTTTTGAAAACATTAGATGCTTTTTATTTTCTAGTTAAATTTTTAGTTACTATTTTTTTTGTTATACAGTTTAATTTCCCTTAAAATTCCTTTGCTTTTATTTTTCACTTTGATAAATTCTGAATGTATGTTTAATTGTTTGGTCAAACAAAACTCCTCTTTATATATTTTCATATCTTTCTTGGTTTCATTCACTTCCCTTTTTTTATGCAAGCATCATAGGCATGTCTCTACAAGAAAACATTTGAACATAAACATAGACAATGTAACACCATGGAACATTCCATATTCAATTTATTAATTCAAAATTTTAATTTTCAACCCCAAAAACATTAGCATTATATTATTTAACAAAACAAATGTAAGATTTCTAAGAAAATAGTGATGACAAATTTTAAGAAAATCTCCAGAAGAATTGTTTGTCGGATTCTACATATCTAAATATTTATAGAAATATAAAATAAAATTATATGTAAAAAGTCCATATAGATTTCTCATCATTTATAGCATACTAATCTACTAGAAGATAATCCGCGCTATGCGCAAAATGAGTTTTTTAAAATAATTGTTTTTAAATACATATTTTGTTATACATAATCTTTTTTTTTTTTACATTTGATTAGAGATGGGCATTCATGTACCATTTGGTTCGGTTAGGTTCTATTTGGTTTAGATCTTTGTGTGTTTGGTTTGAATCTTTGCAAGCTTGGTTTGGGTTTATGTTCTGATAACCCATTTATCTCTTAAACAATTTTAAGGTTCATATATACTTTAAATTTCTAAAAATCTAAAAATAAAAATAATTTATAACATATAAATTTGAAAATGTATGCCAAAATACTTAACATAAAATTGGCTTATCTTAAATATTTGGACAAACAATCAATAAATATTTCAATTTTTTTTGGTATTTGGAATATAGTTTAGCTATTTTAAATATTTCAAAGTATTTTGGAAAATTTAAAAACAACTCATGTATTTTTGTATCATCTTAGATGTTAAATTTAGAAAAAAAATAATATATTTATGTATATATATCTGGTTCGAGTACTCTCAGATATCCGAAATATTTCGATTCATTTTCGGTTCTCTAGATATTAAAACTTTGAATCCGTTTGGATATCTGACCAATTTTTGTTAATGTTCTGTACTACCTTCTGGATTAGATTTGCTTCGGTTATTTGGATTCAGATTTTTGCTTAACCCTATATATTTTATTGTAACAAAAATTTCAACGAAAGATATGATGGTTCATATTGTTTTTGGGTATGCAACAATTTTTAAATTAAAACACACTATATTATATATGTGATCCATTAAAAATGATTGGCTGAACTAAAAAACATTACCATTGATCAGGAAAATTTCAAAGTTAGTTTTTTACCATTTTTAGTAATTTATATTCGTTTTAAAAAATTCAAAATACAACATATAAGAAAAAATCTAATTGTTTTTATATGATTAATGTGATTTTTTAAATTCTTTGAATAATATCAAATTAAATAAAAAGTAAAGAAGATAAAGAATTATTATCAAATCTTTATTATTCATAATCATTAATTGTGATATATATGTTAATCATATTAGGTAATTACGTAGTTTTTAGAAAGAATAGAGAATATTCTTTTGTCCAATAGTAATTATACATGATAGTTAGTTTAGTAAAAATGTAACATATGTTTATTTGGATCAATATATTCGGTTGACTGCCTGAAACCCCCTGTAAATAGTTAAACCCTACTCATTCCCACCTAAACTATTAAACTCCTGATATATCACTCTGGACATATAAAAACACTTCATATTAACACCCAATCTTTTTAGTTCTGCGCAATTACCCCTCTCTAATCCAAATTTCAAAATCATAGTTTAAGATACAAATCGCGTCTAAGTAGCAGTGATTACTCGAATTATAGCGTTTTCAACCTGACCCATTTGACCCGACTTTGTAAATTAAAATTGCTTTGGGGTCTTTATTCATTTAGTGATACAGTTTGTGTGAAAGACGACGATTGACAGAGAGATAGAGATGGACAGAATGAAGACGACAGAGACTAGAGAGAGAGAGAGAGATGCGGCTGAGAGAAGGGAAGCTTGACTGGAAAAGAAGAAGGTTCGACAGAGGCAGAGAGAGAGATTCGAAGATCAGCTGCTCCACTTCATCTTCCCCAACACTGACTCAGAGA